CTTCTCCAGCTCAGACAAAAGACTGTGCGGAGGAGATGGGGGTCCCATGGACTCGGAAGCTCTCCCACAAGGAAGGGGACTCTTCTCCTCATGGAGCCTGAGGGTAAGAGACTTGGTGACCAGCCCCTTGTCACCAACCCCTGGCTCTGGTGGGGCTGCCCACAGAAACAAAAGAAGGGCCGCCGGACATCCTGCAGGAGGAAAAACCCCGAAGAAGGGCTGGTGAGCAGTCCCCAGGCCATCTTCAGCCAGGACAGCAGTCTTGTCTTTTCTCCCTTCATTCTTCCTTTTGGCTCTGAGTGACCTGCTGCCTTGCCAGCCCCAGTCCTCCCCCCAAGTCCTCTTTTAAGTCTTGAGAAACTTGAGAAATGTCCAAGGAGGTGGGGGAAGGGAGGGAAGGACTGGGTGGGCAAGGAGGCAATGCAAGCCTCATCCACCTGTGAGTTTCTTGGCAGTGGGAGGCAGGCCACACCCCTCTGGCCTGGCACTTGCTTCCAGGAAGGCCTGCCCTGGAACACTCTGGAGGAGTCTGGAGACAGCTCTGCGCACCATAGGCAAAAAACACAGCCCCGCTCCCACCCACGGCGAGCTGAGATCTGGGCATGGGGCTTTAGCACTCAGGCCAAAGAGCTAATGGGGCTGCTGGAGGCTGTGAAACGTGGTGTCAGCTAGAGTGCTGAACTGGCAGGCTCCAGACCAAACCAGAGAAAGACAGGAGGAGGCTCATGGAGCACCAGACTGCTCTCCTTGCCTCCACCACCCCGGACCTTCCCTTGCTCCTCACTTGGGACCAAGATTCTAGGCATCCAACTACTGGAAACCCAGCAAACCTCTTCGTAGGTGTGATGGACTGAACTGTGTCTCCCTCACCCTCCGCTAAATTGCTGTGTTGAAGTCTTAACCCTCAGGACCTCAGAATATGACTGTACTTGGAGACAGAGTCCTTAGAGGGGGTGATTAAGTTAAATGAGGTCATAAGGCTGGGCCCCAACCCAACAAGAGCGATGTCCTTAAGAGAAGGTGAGGACTCAGACCCGCACGGAGGGAGGACCAGGTGAAGACACAAGCGAGGAGGTGGCCGCCGACAAGCCAAGGGGGAGGCCTCAGGAGAAGCCAGCCCCACCCACACCTTGATCTCAGACTTCTGGCCCCAGAACTGGGAGAAAATGAATGTCTGTGGTTTAAGGTAAACAGTCGTGGTACTTTGTTGCAGCCGCTAGCACAGACTAGGACATCAGGCCCTCGGGTCTACCAGAGGGCTCTTTTCCCAAAGGAAGGAGTCCCTGAGATGACAGGCATCCCCCTCTGCCCCCAAGCCACCCATCCCAAGGCCTGGAACCTTCTCTGCCCAGAAGGTTCTTCATTGGATTCTTCACCTTTCATCACTCCCCACACCACCACTTCTGGCTCAAGTGCAGAGGAGCAAAGGTGGTCCCAGGCAGCACAGTGACCGCAGCCTCGGTCCACCAGTCAGAGGCGCACTCTCCCTTGGTTTCTGCTGCTACTTCCTGGCCCCAGTCCTGCAGGGAAATGGGCTGCCCTGAGGGGCACCCTGTCATCCAAGGTGAAGAGTGACGGGTGTGAGGAGGGGAAGAAGCTGAGCTGCAGAGGGAAAGAGGGATCTGGAGCCGATCCCTGGATCCACATGCCAGCCCCATCTCTGATCTTCGGACCCTGAGTGAGATTGCTGCCCTCCCCACGTGCAGTGTGGTCATCGTGCAATGTAGTGGCCACAGGCTGGGCTGAGGTCCTAAGACAGTTCCACACGTGGGGATGCCTCCCCCTTGGACAGGTCCCTTCCCCTCCAGAGACTGATCTGGAGTGGGACCAGCCTGCAGGGACCAGAAGTCCTCACACGATGTCTTCCTTCATTTTGCCACTGAGATTGACGGAGGACTCCCTGGGGGAAAGGACAAGCATACTGAGTGTCACACGGTCACACATTCTGAACTGGAAGACTGCACGAGGTTCCGGGGGGTGGCAGTGCAGGCAGCGAGGGAGGCATTAAATACAGAATGGTTGCTCACAGGCAAGGTTAAGTCGGGGTCACCTGGAGGGCTCCCTGGAGGAAGCGGGAGCTCTGACCCCAGCGCTGACCGCCTCTCACTGCAGGGAACGCCGAGGTGGGGCCCAGGCCAGAGATGACCTTTGTCGCCAAGACCTGGGCTCGGGGCCCTCGCCCACCACTCTGAGTCACCCGGCAGACTCCAGAGGGACTGGCCGGCCCTTCCTACACCCACCCCCTGTGGGCTTGACATAGGAAAGGCAGACCGCCTCCAGAAACGTCCTCACCCTACCTTGCATACACCACCCCCTCTGTATTTTGAGAGGCCAGTCCCTCAGCAGAGGCTGTCCTGAGTGAGCAGCCTCTCCTGTAAGTGACCAAGGTCACAGAGCTGCGGAGGGGACACCTGCAGGGCGGACACATGTGCTTGCGCCCTGCGCTCCAGCACCGCGGGGTCAGCCTGCCTCTCCTGGCCCAGGGGTTCCCTGGGGAGCAGGCAGAGCCATCTCTGGTACCACATCGTGCCCCGCAAGGCCAAGCCCCAGCTCCAGTGAATGGCCAAGCCCCTCCCAGGCGCCAGCGTGAGCCATCTCTCGAGTGCCCCCAGAGTCTTGGGGGTCAGGTGCCTTTATCCTAGCTAGCACGTGTGGAAACCAGGCCCACAACCAGGAAAACAGACACAGAACTCCTGCTTCCCTCCCTGACCAGAGAACTAGCCAGAAGAAAATGCAAGCTGGATGGCATGACCAACACAATGGACATGAGTTTGAGCAAGCTCTGGGAGATGGTGAAGAACAGGGAAGCCTGGCATGCTGCAGTCCATGGGGTCGCAAAGAGTCGGACACGACTCCAACTGAACAACAACCAGGCCCCAGAATCTAGAGCCTTCCAGAAATGTTCCAGCCAGGAAAAGCAGGATGGGAGTAACAATCACTACTCCCAGTACAACGCCCCCGGCTGGCTCTCCTGTCCCTGTGGGGCCCACAGCCCAGCTATAGCGGGGAGCACACAGTGGGACTGGGATAATATGGGGTCTGCCCAGACCACATGAGGTGACCACCTCAGTCACCCAGCCCCCAGCCTAGGCCAGCCAGATCAGGGAGGAGGACGGCTGGGCTGTGAGCCACTCCCTAAGCCTTCCCTTCCCACCCTCGGGCATAAGGCCAGCATCTCAGCCTCCAGACAGGAGCCCCTCTGTCCCTACAGGACAAGCTGACCTTTAACTGGCCTGAAGGTCCCACTGGTTCCATCTCCCTGCCTGGGGGAGCAGATCGGAGGAGAAAGCAGGGTGGGTAAGGGGGTGGGAGAGGAGCCCAGGGCCTCCCTCACCCCCTCCTTCCTCCCCCTTCCCCGCCTCTGGTACCAGCCTCTGGCTCCTTCCGCCCACTTCCTTCCCTCAGGCTGACTCTGACCCAAGTCCCATCCTTCCCGTAGCCCCTCCTTTCCCCTTAATTATTTTACCTTCTGTTTGCCTGGCACTTTATAGTTTACTAAATGTTTTTACATTTATCATCGCATTGAATCCACACCAGGGAGAGATGGAGAGACACTGAAAATTCCTTCAGACTGCCAAGTGTTCTTGTTAAAAATGCAAACATCCCCAGGATGATGAACAATTAGGCTGGCAGCCACCGGTACCTCAGGACTGACTGATTCATTGCATCCTCTTCCTCCTCCCAGCTACTGGGTACAAGGGGACATGATTGGAGGGAGAAGTACTTTGGGGGCGGCCTCAGCATAGTGGGCAGGGCTCAGTGTCTGGGCCTCCCGGGGCAGCAGAAAGAAGAGCAAGAACTAAGTAGGTACAAAGACAAACTTGGACCATTGAAACACTGCACATGAACTTCGCTCATCAAACCCGAAATTCTAGCTCCACCATCACCCTCATCCCACTCCCTCTGAACTCCACTGCTCATTCTGGAGTGTCCAAGGTCAGAGAGAGAAACTTTATGCAGAAAAATGCCAAAAAGACTTTTCAGGGTGGAGTCAACAAATCCAAAACCTTGGAGATGGAGGCAGGGTGAGGGCGCCTGGGCTACCTAACCCAGCTCTCGATGTGGCCGGGGCCCTCCCCCCACCCCAGGACCAGCTTCAACCAGGTGCAGAAGCACAGAGGCTGGGTGCTGGTGTCCTTGAATGGACACAGGCTGGTCACAGGTATAAATCAAAGGGGGTCTCAGTTACCCCAGCTGAAAACTGATGGGGGATGGAGAAATAAGCCTGTGATTAAACCCCAGACAGGGTGTCTCAAGAGTTCCTGAGCTCCAGACAAGCTCACTTTAGAGGCCCCACATATTCAAATGAGCCACATAAATCAACAGAACTCATGCATAACTCTTAAGAGCTGATATGAGTTGTGAATGAGCATTTGACATAATGCTAGGGTTTGCTGCTAGATTAAACATGTATTAATTTCAATTCTGCTGCTTTCTTTTCAAATTTTGGAGCCTACCGATTTATTTCCAGCTCGCAAACATTTTCGTTGGCTGTTGATGAAAGCTTGTGGGCCCTGAATACTGTGTCTACATTCCTAGTGCTCTGACCCCAGAGAACTCAGGCAGCGAGCCTGGAGAAATCCAACAACAGGGTTAAAAGAAATCTAACAAAGGCAGTGTTTGTAGCACAGCAGGGTATCTCAAGCTCCATGCAGGCTACCTCCTCCAAGGAGGCCTCCCAGACCACTCCAGATCTCAAGAATCCCTCCCAGGCCAATCTCAGAGCATTTGCTGCCTGTGAGACTCATTTGGTACCAAGAATACACACTTCTATGGCTGGTTTGCTGCATTCTTTGGCTCTGCCTTCATAGCTTAACACATTCATGTTTAGTTTTATCTTCCCCCACTGAACTGTAAGCTCTCAGAAATGTCTTGGACTTCTCCTCTGTACCCCCGACCCTCTGAACCCAGTATGGTATCCTAGCAAACCAAGAGACCCAAGGCCATCTGAGCAGGGCTATGCAATTGCAGAGGGACTAGAAGTCACCGGTCCCACCTACCCTCCATGCCATCATCTCGATGCCCATTGAAGTTGTCATAGGAATCCCAGCGGATGAGGGGGTCGGAGGTGTTATAGTCCACGGACACACTCGGCCCATTCTCCAGGTGTTCCATGCCTTAGAAAATGGGAAAGGAGGAGAGGACAGTAAAGAGAAAGGGAAAAAAAAAAAAAAAACCAGATTAGCAGCTGGAAAAACAGAGGAAGCCAACAAGCTCCCCAAGGATGCTCCCTAAGGGACTTCTCACTTTCTTGACCATGCGGGGTGGAACCAGTGGCTTAAGTTGGATGGAGAACCCAGGAGTCTGGTTTCTTACATTCTTGAAAAGGCTCACACCAGGTCATAAGGGTAAATCAGGACAGCGGCACTGAGCAACAAAGACCCCCCAGAACAGAGCTGGGGGGGAGCTCTCTGGCTGGGTGGCTGCCTCTTTCTCATCTGTGCCCCAGGGGTCCCTGTGACAGTGCCAAGAGTCCAGTGAGGCTGGCCCTGAGTCAGAGGGGAGTGTGGGAGAGACTTGCGGTGGGCTCCATAGGGCCAAGGACAGCAGGCAAGTCACAGCCTTGCGGCTGAGAGGACACAGGTCATCCCAGCCATCCCCCTGCCCCTCCACTTAAGAGGTTCTCTCCTCCAGGCAGAAATCTGAGGAGAGAGGCAGAATCTCGCCTACACTTTCAGAAAAAGCCCAGGATGTGGACAGAAAAGCTACAAGTCAGGCCTTCTGGGGCGAGTTACCTTCCTGACCCAGCAGTCCTTTCTTTAATCTACCGAGTCCCTCTGTCGGTAACCTGACTTCATCTCTTCCTATTCAGTTCCCAAATAAGATGGCGAACAACTAGTCTCCACATATAACCAGTCTAAAGGCTTAACGGCTATTATTAAATCGCCCTTCTCATCTTCAGGTCGAATCACCTCAGTTCTCATAAATACTTATCGCCCATCCAGCACCTATGAGTGTCCCCTGGCCACTCACTCCATCCACCACAGCCCTCAGTCTCTGAATATAAGAGGGTGATGACTTAATGGGGCCAAAATAGTTTATCCAACCCAGCGCTTGTCTACTTTTTTATTTTTATTATCCAGAGATTAAGTCACTGGTTCATGTTTAGCTGGGGGTCCACTGTGATACCCAGATCCGCTACTGCTGGTCTGCCTCTCAACCACAGGTAACTTGATATTTGTAGAACAGACCAGTGGGGAAGTGGTGGAGATGAGCTGAGGTGGGGCAGGGCTAGATGGAGGGAAGGGAGTGAATCAACGGGTTCTAACTCAGCTTTTACCTTGAATTTTCTCTGGTCCATAGGAAAATACAAACTCAACTTTGCCGTATTCTGGAAATCGATCATCTGAAAAAGGAGAAGGAAAACAAAAATGGGCAATCAATTCCCAAAAAAGGACTCCACAGAAAGTTTTCTTCTAGAAAAGATTAAAGTAATATATGTATTTATTGTTGTTATTTAGTCACTGAGTCATGTCTGAGTCTTTTGCGACCCCATGGACTGTAGCCCTCCAGACTCCTCCGTCCATGGGATTTTCCAGGCGAGAATACTAGGATAGGTTGTCATTTCCTTCTCCAGAGGATCTCCCTGACTCAGGGAACAAACCTGCATCTCCTGCACTGGCAGGCGGATTCTTTACCACTGAGCCACCAGGGAAGCCCAACATATGTATACATAGTTGATAATATAATAAATAATATGTATAATGATGTTAAGTCTCCTGCCCATCTTAGTCCAGTCCTACTTGCCTAAGGTAACCACTTCTTACCATTTCTATGTTCTGTTCTACTAGCAGCTACCTCTAAGACTCCAGAAAATAACCACAGTTTTTATGCCACTATTTTTAATTAGTTTTAAATAATCTTAATTGAAAAAAAAGAAAAAATAATCTTCATTGATGCAACACTGTGAAGATGAATAATTTGGACCACTTATAGTATCCCCACCTCCCTTCTTAAATCTTGTTATGATTATTAATCACCCTTCTGATTACCTCTGAAACTTTAAATATTACAGTTGAGCCTCTATTTCTTGATCTGTCCATTTTTGATCATGTCCTGACTCCCTCCAAACAGGAGGAGGAAATTTTTGCCCCTCCCTTCCCATCTCTCCACAACCCCTTTTATCTCGTTAGTTATTCCTTTACCTTCCTTGTTAGGACTGATAACATTTACATTCTCTTCTGCAAATACAACAGCATCTTCTGTGTTTGCCATCCTGGCTCTGGTACAGGGAAACCTCTTCATAGAAATATCATTCTCCCTGCATGAGCCAGACCACACTGGGGACTCAGGCCTCCCCTCCCCAGAGCTCCAGCCCCACGCTCTGATCTCTGCCTGAACCCGGTCTGGACACAGATCACAGCCACTGCTTGTCAGAAGGGAAGTTACAGCAGGGGTGGCGTCCCCTCCCTGGACCACCTGTCACCCCCCCTGCACGCCTCCATCACTATAGGCGTCACTTCACAGTATCACGTTTGTGTGTCCCTTCCTCCCGTAAGACTGTGAGCTCCCTAAGGGTAGGGCCTGACTTCTTTCTGTTTGTATCACCAGGGTCTAGCACATGCCTGGCACATACGGACACTCAAGTGATGCTGGTGGGTTTATAGATAGATGAATAGATGGGTGAATGAATGTAGACACGTCCCAGACCTGAATGGGATGCAGATAAAACCTAATAGATAGAGGAAAGAAGCAAAGAGAGACAGCTCCCTGATCACTCCCCTTCCCCTGGGAAAATGGTCACCCTTCACGGCTGCCACAGCCCCTCCGTTAGGTTCTTCTATCCAGTGATATAATTATTCCTTGCTACGTCTGCCTGTCTACTCAACGAGCCTACCTTTGAAGGCATCATCAAGGTCCTTCTTCCCAAAGACAACTCCTAGGTCATGGATGGCACAGGTATGGAACTGCACGCGGAAGATGACGTCTCGAGCTGGGCTCCGGAACTTCTTGTGGTAACACTTCAGCTGGTGGGAGAGATAGCCGAGCCCATCAGGGGCCCAGAGGGAGGAAGTCAGTCCCAGGGCGCCTCCTTATCAGCTCCATTTCTGGGCCCCAAACCCACTGAGGAAGAGGTCACCCGTCCCCAACAGAATCTCAGAGCTCTCTGGGGAAACTTCCAGAACAGCAGAGGTCGGAGGCCAATCCTGCCCTGTGGGGACAAAACTACCCTCCCGAGAAGTTCCTGCATGTAAAACAGATGGCCAATGGAAATTCCTTGTATGACTCGAGGAACTCAAACCGGGGCTCTGGAACAACCTAGAGGTGTGGGAATAGCTGGGTGGTGGGAGAAAGGTTTGGGGGAGGGGGAAATATGTACACTTAGGGCTAATTCATGTTGATGTGCAGCAGAAATCAAACCAATATTGCAAAGCAATCATTAATCAATTAAAAATAAAACTTTTTAAAAAAGAAGTTCCTGCACAAGAGTCAAAATGGAGAAGGCAGAAGTGGATTTAAAATGCAAGTAGAAGGAGTGAAGCTGGAATTGAGGCAGTCCTGGTCACCAGCAGGAAGCCCGGAGGTAATAGCTCACACAGAGGCATATTTCCCTGGAGATGCTCCGGAACAAGAGGCAAGCCCAGGGAAGGCATATCCCGCTGTGAGGAAGTGGATGGACAAGGACCTTCCAGGTTGGAAGGCCTTGCAGGGCCCCTGAGAGCCAGTCAACACCCCCAAGGCTGGTGGCCCACCAGGAGTGACACGCTTATCCAGAGAGACAGGAGGGGAGTAGGATGAAAAAAGAAAAAAAATAAACAGTGGGCGGCGGTGGGGAGCTTGAGATGGAGGAGCAACTCACCAAGATGTCTCCCTTCAAGAGCAGCCCAGGCTCAATGGTGATGCAGATGCTGGTCTGGCTGTCTCCTTGGACGTTGCTAAGGGAGAGAGGCAGAGGGACAGAGGGCTGCTGACGGGGCTGAGCAGAGTACCTCCTTCCAGCTGCCCCTCCGCCAGGGGGCTGTCGGGAAAGCTCACTGACGCATCCCTCAGCCCTCCTCCTAGAAAAGGTTCTAGACAGCCCTCCAATCCCTGTCCCCAGTCCTCAGCCTCAGTTCACCAACATTCCTGGCCTCTCATTCCTGTGGAATACCTACTAGATGCCAGATGTGTAGACAGGTTGCATGGCCTGGTAGATCCGGAGAAATGGTCGACATCCTGTAAAGGAGGGGTGGTGTTAGCCAAGACAGCAGAAACAGTGAGAGGAGGAAGGGGGAGAGGAGAGATGCAGGAAGGAAGAAGAGTGAGAAGGGGAAGGAGGAGAAAAGGAAGGAGAAACGGGAAAAGAAAGAGGGAAAAAATGCTAACTTTTCATTAAAGGCATTTTGAGAAACTTCCCTGGTGGTCCAGTGGTTAAGGATCTGCCTTCCAATATTGGAGACGTGTTTCCAATGTTTGACCCCTGGTTGGGGAACTAAGATCCCACCTGCCACGGGGCAACTAAGCCCGCACACCACAACTAGAGAGAAACATGCATGCTGCAACTAAAGACCCCATATCCCTCAATGAAGACCCAACACAGCCAAAATTAAATAAATAAATCAATATTTGTAAAATAATAACAAAACAAACACATTTTGAGTTTACAAACGTGCCCACATCCAGCGTCACCTGCCAGCAGGCACGGCCAGTATGAAACCCACTTTGCAGATGAATCAACTGGGGTGCAAAGAAACAGGAAGTGGTACAGTTGAGACTCCAAGCCTAAGACTTGGCAGCTAGCCAGCATTTTTACCACCTAGCGCTGCCTCCTGAGAGAAAGAGACGGAAGACAGGAGGAGAATGGAAGCCAGGGGGTTCAGAGAGTTACCTCCTTTAGACTCGAAGTTGGGGATGCCATGCATGATCACGTGGTGCAGAAACAAGGGCTTGTTGTTCATTTTGATGGAGCCAGAGAGCAGGCCGCTGAAATAGTGCACGTACCTGGAGCAGGGAGAAGGGCAGCTTCAGCCAGGGAGGCCTGTGCTAGAGTACAGCCATTCTGTTCTCTTTCTCCCCAGCACACTGCCCTAGGTGGCCCTGCCGACTCCCCACCACCTCCAGCAGCCCCCAGGCCTCCGAGCGCCTGGGGTCTCCATCCTTGCTGCCTGCAGCCTTAGGTAAGGAAGGCAAATAGGTACTGATACACCTAGAGTGGAGCCCAGCCAAACCTCCCACTTGGGGTTCTCCAGCGCCCCCTGGTGGTCAATGTGGCCGTCTCTTTCCTGCTTCACTCCCAGCCCAGGAATCTCCAGCTGGACCAAATTTCCTTCCCGACACATCCCTGACAGGCATCATTTAGCTGTGCACTACAGAACAAGGCAGGATGACCAACCATCAGACAGCTCTGACACCCTGGCCCCCAGCCCAAACCAAGTTTACGTTTGTACCCACAGGCCCCAGTTCTGTCCCCACAGACGCACCAGCCACATAACAATATAGCAAATAGTAAAAGCTTAATAATTCTAGTCCTTCACTTTTTCTTGTCTGGAGAATCCCACAGACAGAGGAGCCTGGCAGGCTACATCCATGGGGTCGCAAAGAGTCGGACACAACTGAAGCAACTTAGCAGGCACACAAAAAGGATACAAAGTTACTCTATATCACTTCATTCGATACTGAAGGATATCTAACTTCCACTAAGTATTCCTATCTTTAGAGTCAACATTCCGCAATTCCCTTAACAAGGCTCTGGCTAGAAGACTGGAAGGAAAAGCCACCCCCACTCCTAGAAGAAAGGGAAAACTAATCCAGAAAGGGTCACTAGCCTCCCAAAGACACACAGCAGGAGGGCACAGAGGTGAGAGGGGAGCGGGTGGGAGGAGAAGGGAAGCAGTCTGACTCCGATGCATCTGCTAGAAGGAGGGGCCAGTCCATTTGGTCAGTGCTTCCTGCCAGCTGGACCAATCAGGATGTATTTTGATTTGAGGAGAGTGGGACCAGAACACTCATGATCATGACAATGGTCTCGTCCTGACTCCCGGCTCCTTGGCCCACCTCCATGCCTGTGGGCCTCTGTCCCTGCGCTGGGGTGGGGCCACCTTGGACTGCCCTAGCAAGATAATCTGATGGGCAGCGCCAGCTCCTATTCAAGCCCCATGCCCAGCCCCCAGCCCCGTTGCTCAAACCGGAAACCTGGAATGGCAGGTTCCTATCAGATCTTCTGATCGTGCCAACAGGATGTGTCTGTGTGCTGGGGACAATGAACCCGGGGGTGGGGTGACAATGAATGGCGGAGCTAGCAAGCAAAGCTCCTCCCTCCCTCTCTCCCTGCCCTCCGCTCCTCCAGCTGATCCAATCCCTGAAAGTAACACTGACAAGGCGGGAAAGTGGCAACGAACGCCACTTCCCCAACGGGCGCACTTCCACATTTGAGCACAGACAGAATTACCCACCCATGAGCAGATGCAGCTACAGATATGAGCGGCAAGGCAGATACAAGGCAGATAATGTAAACACAGACACACACACCCCCCAATGGCACGCTATGTAAGCACATACTGAGCACAGTGGAATCCTTGAACCATCCTAGTCCTGAGAGTAACACTAATCCCCATCCTCCAGGCTTTTAGCTGCAGAGATGTGACTGCCCTGCCCACACTCTCCACGCCACATTGTACCATCATAAACATCGTGCTCCTCTTATCTGAATCTAATCTTTCAAGGCCAAGGGCCAGACTCGCGACCAAGGCCACCAGCCATATGTAGCAAGCCAGGATCTTGAACAGCAGTCCTTTCCTCCCTAGGAAGACTCTCACTGACCCACTGCTGCTGTGTCTGACAGCCTAGTCAGAATTTTCTGCACATAAAGATATTCCATTTCTGATCTCTGACCCAGAAGCTGGCTACCCACTGCCCTGTGCTGGTTGTAAGGCACTGGTGGCCTAAGGACTCCCTCACTTCTGCTTGGGCTTCCTGCTACAATGGCAGAAACACAGTCCCCAGTGGAGCCAGCACACTTTTAGCCAGGCAAGATAGAAGCAACGGGGTGTGAGTTGGGAATCCCCTGCCTGGAGAGGTTAGAAAGCTCCAGGACCTGCGGCTAGGGAGTCCTGCTTTGCTTGGTCAGTGTTCCAAGGGGCTGCAAAAATCACTGAAGCACCGTGGCCTTCATACATGCTACCTGAACCCTTTACTCCAGACCTTCAATCATATGCTTCCTTCTCCCTTCTCAGACCTCACCTCGCATGGCATCGTCTGTGCCCAGAGTAGGCACATAGACTGATCCGCCGGAATCAGCCTCTCACATCCACCCCTGTCACACATTCTAGTCCATCATGTTCTATTTTGGCTTTTTTCCCTTCAAAGCACTTCTCACTGCCTAAAATGACCTTGATGGTCTATTTACTTGTGTAAAGTTCTCAACAGAGTATCAGCTTACTAAGGGCTAAAGATCATCCGTTCAATTAGATATCACCAGCACTTGGAACATACTAGAGTACAGAAAATTTGTCAAACGAATGACGAAATCCACCCCTGTCCTGCTTCCTACATGGGCTGTTGTGGACCACATCGCTGAGAGCCCTTTGTAAAATTTTAAAACCCTCACAGCAGAAGGGGACCCTCATCCTGAGTGTCTGTGATCTTCTCAGGGCAGACGGCAGTAACTTCAGCCTCCTGCAGATCCATCCAAACACAGAAGCAATCCCGCTTCCAGGACCAAGAATGGCACTGCTTTCTCATCGAAGCTGTCTTCTTGCATGCCCCCCTCCACCCCCTACTGCTGGCCCCGCTGATCTCTGGCACCAACCTCAGGAGCCAACTGCTGTGCCCCCCTGTGGGCACACACAGCTGCCCACAGGTTCCTGAGCTCACGCCCCTCCAGGCTGGACCTGAACACGCATGCTTGGCACACCACCACACAGGTACACTGCTCAGTCCCCATGGGTTCACAAGGCTGGTTCCCACATACAGCGAACACACACACACATGTATGTACTGGGCCAAGAGCCCTGGAGACCCACCTCTTCTGGGATGGTTGGCCAATGGGTACAATCTTATCCTCATAGAACCGTTTCATGGCAAACCGGTCCAGGGCCTGATCGGCACTGTGTGGAGAGACAGGTGGTCAGAGGAGCCAACTTCTACGACCCCCCTGCCCCCCCACCCCTGCTCCCCAGACCTGCAGAGTCCTCCAGTCGCTCTGTCCTGAGATGCTTTCAGGAAAGGATTGTTCCAGCATCCCTCCCTCCTGTGTGCTGCAATACTCAGCACGGGAGGCTTAGAACCAGACATCCTGGGAGCCCTTCTCAAGTCCACCACTGACTTAGTAGCCCTTGGTCTTTGGGGAAGATTACTTAACCTTCCTGAACCTGATTTTCCTTTCCTGGCAAATGTGGTGATAACTATGCCTTCTTTGAACGTTGTTAGGGCAATTGAGGGAGATAACATCTCTAAAGAGCTTGGCACATGTGGGCACACAGTAGGTGCACAGGCAAAGTTCACCATTAAGCAAAGATTAAGCTGGTCAGGTTTCTTAAAGTCATAAAACTACCATCCTACTGGCAAGCCCTTCAGAGGACACTCTACTCATCCTCGAAGAGGTCATTTTATAAAGAGACAGATCATATAACTCTCATATAAAGAGACAGATCATTCTAGACTCTCCACCGATGTCCCTCTTAGAATAAACCCCAAAGTCCTCACCAAGGGCTGCAAGGCCCCTGGACTCTGCCCCTTCGCAGCTTCACTTCCTAGTCTTTGTCCCCTCACTCATTCAGCTCCAAACATACCAGGCCCTGGCATTCCCATTGCTGGCATTTGTCCTACTCTCTTCTCTGCCTGGAAGGTCCTCTGCCTCCCGAGACCGCATATGACTCAGTCCTTCCCAGCCTCCCACCACTTAATCCCAGTCTCTGCTCACACATCACCTCCTTGAGAGACCTCCCCTCCCCACTGTCTTGCTCCAGTCTCTGTTCTCAAAGGACTTGCCTCCTGCTCTTAAGGATGTGTTTGTTCACTTAATTTAACACTCACGAGAACAGTGGCCCACCTTTGCCCACTGCTGTATTCTCAGCACCTAGAACAGCCTGCACAGTGACTGTTCCGTAACCATCGTCAAATGACAAAATGAATGGACCGACTCCTCTGCCTCTCTGCAAAGCTGGATCAGAATGGAACCCATCCGCTGGCTGTTTCCTATTCTGTCTTGCTGCAGACACCAAAGTGGGAAGGTGCCCCTGATGGCCAGAGGCAGGGGTCATGGATGAGAAGGCGTCTAGATGGCTCTGCTGGACCCAGGTGTGTTCCAACATTTCCTTGTGACTCCCTCGCTGCTCTTTAGGGTGAATAGAAGGCAGTTTGGCAAAGGAAAGTGGCCCCAAGAAGCCAGCTGGGTGGGGTGCCCATGCGGGGCCTGCCTCCCACAGTGGCTCCCCCCACCACTGGGGCCCCAGATAGGAGGATGGCCTCTGCTCTATGCTGCCCTCTGTCCAAGGGCCCCTACCCCAGAGCTGTGGGCGGGGACTTTCTCCTTTCTGGGGGTCCTCGCCCTGTCCTCAGCACCTCCCGTCTCCTCTGTCTTCATTCTCTAATACCAAAGAAGGGCGAGGCCCTAGATGGGTGGGGAAGGGGGTCCTGCTGTCAATATTCAGAGAACAGGAGTCTCGGGTTCTCTTACCTGGCAGAAATGTTGCTGTAGTGCATGTAAGCCGCGATCACAACGCCGATCCTGCCTCGATTTCCCTGAAAGAGCCCCAAACACAAAAGCCTTCACTGCTAAGGCTGGCCCTCCCACCCCACAGCCCAATCAGAAAGCCTGGAAGAAAAGGGGTTGGAGAGAGGGGATGTAGCTCTCAGACAGAAAAGGAGTAGGGAGGAAGCAGGTGGGACTGAATCTTAAAAAGAAGAAACAGTTGATTATCTACCACACCTGAGGGCCCCACAGGCTGGTAGCCCCCACTTCTTGTGGGTGCTGCCCCAGACAGAATGTATTATCCCCAAGAAGGAGAATACACACAAACTTGCACACTCACACAATCCAACGATACGGGCAGGTACATGCACTCATCACACACACACATCCTGCCATCCCCGCTCTGACCTTGTTGTGTAGGACGACCACATTGTGGGGGTCTGCATTGAGCCAGGTGTCCATGGCCTTGCAGACACTGCAGATCTTCTCCAGGGCCGGGGTGTGCAGGTCGGGCCAGCCAAATTCCAGGACCTGTGGCCGAAGCCATGAGTAAGAAGTGACAGAGGTGCAGAGAACCAACGGGGATGGGGGACAGTGAGGGGACGTTAGTTCCTGCCCTGCCCATCAACCCCGCTCAGAGGCAGGGGTGTGGAGGCTTAGGACACTGGTCCAAGGCTTGGTTCTAACACCGGCTCCCTGTGGGACCTCAGGTTAGTCACGGCCCTGGCCCCAGCCCCAGTTTCTCATATGTGTATAAAGCAAAAGCTTAGCGCACGCCAAGGTCCCAGCAGTCATCAGCCTCCTTCAAACTTTAACTCACAGAACTTTAAAGTACAGGAAAACTTGTGCTCAGAAGGACCCAGAGAGCTCATCTAATCCAGCCCGTCCACTTTTAGACACACAAACCAAGGCCCAGAGAACTCTGCCGCCCACCCAAGGTCACACAGCGACGGGCACCAGAATCCAGGGGCTGGAGCGGCACGTAGAGCCCCTCCACACATGCCTCACTCAACAGCAAGTGAAAGAACGCTGGCTGTCGGACGCCTGCACTGGCAATTCCCAGCCGATGCAAATCCAGAAGACTGGTCAACAAGACCAAAAATCCCACAACCCCAGCCTCACCCCAGGGACTGTGTGTGCACACAGCCAGAGACAGGCCTGGGTGGAAATGACTGTACTGAGCTTTGCTTTCTGTAATTCATATCACAGAAGCGCTATGTGCGTTTTGGTTTTCCAAACAGAAGAGAGCACAGTGACTTTGAAAAGGCTTTGCAAACAGTCACAGCACTTTCCTCCAAGATTCTAACATGGGATCTTTGGAGGAAGGGAGCCCAGGCAAGAACTCCCCCAAACAAACCCCCAAACAGCCACAGGCTCACCTTGGCGTGGAGCTTCGTGATGTCAGGTCTTCGCTCAGAGAGGTTGAAAAGCTAGAAGGAGGAAAAGGAAGAGGTTGTGAGAAGGCTGGCCCTCTCTCTCGCTCTCTCTCTCTCTCTCTCGCTCTCGCTCTCTCTGTCTTCCTTGCTGGAAATTCTACTACATGAACACACATGAAGCCCCCCCAGACACACACCGACCGATGGGAACCAACTACAGGTTCTCAGGATGAACAGGGAGACAGAGACAGGTATGCAGACACTCAGCCCTGCCCCTGGATGAGCAGACATCCTGAACTGAAGGTGAGAAGGGGATGGAATCTGTCTTGGGCCCCACGTGCCACCCCCAAGGTGGGCGTCTCCCCACACTGTATGGAGATCCAGTGGTGGCAACTGATAAGCATTTGGCCATCTCTGGTTTCTACTTCACATGGTGACTTTAGAAACTCACCCCATGGAAATGCAACTGCTCTGTGGTCAGACACCCTCTATCAAAGGGTGCAAACCATGCTGGGTGGACCCTCTCAGATCCTTGATCTCCCAGGAGACACCCCCTGACACTTGACCACATCCCACGGGAATCCCCCTGTCTCTGAATTCCTGTCTTCCACCTCTGGAGGAGGCAGGCAGAACTCCCGATATCCAGCACAAGGCCTGGGAAACTCAAAGGCGCCTGTGATGGGTGGGACAGAGCGGGGAAGATACAGCAGAGACTCATAGAACTCTGGACTCCTGAAATTGGGCAGGATCTTAGATGGCTTCTGGTCCTCTCTTCATAGGCTTCCTTGTTGGCTCAGTCAGTAAAGAGGCTGCCTGCAGTGCAGGAGACCCAGGTTCGATCCCTAGGTCAGGAAGATCCCCTGGAGAAGGAAATGGCAGTATTCTTGCCTGGAGAATCCTATGGACAGAGGAACCTGGTGGGCTATATAGTCCATGGGGTCGCAAGAGTCGGACATGACTTAACGACTAAACCACTACATTACATCACTCTTGAGTCCCATAAAGGACTATGCCTTATGCCATGAACAAAAGCTACAACTTGGGTGTCCACAGCCAGCCAGGCCGCACTAAAGATTTGACATTTAACAAGGTGCCTTAATTCTCTCCACAACCTCTGAAGTAGATACTGTCATTAGATCCATTTTACAGATGGTATCCTACGGCTTAGAGAGGCCAAGTGCCAAGATTAGATAGTTGGTAACAGCAGAGCCAGCATAGAACTTTCTGATGTTTAAAGCCAGATGTCTTAATTTTTTTTTCGGCTGCACCATGCAACATGTGGAATCTTAGTCTCCAAACCAGGGATCAAACCCATGTCCCCTGCAGTGGAAGTATGTAGTCTTAACCACTGGCCCATCAGGGAAGTCCCTAAAGCCAGACTCTTAACAACGTCCAACAGAGCTGATGGATGGGTCTCTATAGAGGGCCGAATGGTGTCCCACAAAAATTCATATCCACCCGGAACTTCAGAATGTGACCTTATTTGGAAACAGGTCCGTTGCTGATGTAAGTAGTCAAGGGTCTGGTGATGAGATCATCCTGGCTTCAGAGTGGGCCCCAAATCCAATGACTTGTGTCCTTATAAGAAGAGGAGAGGACACACCGACTCGGGGAAGAAGGAAGGTCATGTGATGATGGAGGCAGAGACTAGAGCAAGGCGCCTACAAGACAAGGAGCTGCCAGAAGATGGAAGAAGGCAAGGAGAATTCTCCCCCACAGGACTGAGATGGAGCACGGCCCCAGTGACACCTTGACTTGGACTCCTAGCTTCCAGAACTGTGCAAAAATTAATTTTGTTGTCTTCAGCCACCTAATTTGTGGGAATTAGTTACAGCAGCCCTAGACCTTGCCTCTCCTCTCTCACTGTGGCGTGGCGGGTCCGTGGGTCCAGCCCACACGGATCTTCCTATAAGGTGGGCCCGAGCCCTCCTCTGGGGCCAGGATAGCTCCGATCTCCCGGCCAGCCTTTCTGACCCCCATAGTGGGTGAGGAGTCGGGGGTAACCTCCTCCACATTGATTGGGAGATTCTCCTGTCCCAGGTACAATTCTCTATTCAGCAACACAAGGTCCCTCAAAACACGATCTGCCACAGCTCTGCCCTCAGACTTCTCAGAGGCACCGACAGCGTGACATCTCTGCCACTTCCTGACGCTGTGACCTCAGGCAAATACCCCACCTCTCTGCTCCTGCGGTAGCTGCTTCCTAGGGCTGTCATGATGTTAAATACGTGGGGGGGAGTTAGGACAGAGCCTGGATCATCACAGGCGCTCAGTAACATGAGCGTCACCATCACTCCCTCCTCTGGTCAACACACACGTACACCCACACACATACAGACATACCACATGGACACACAACCCACTCGTACACATATACACACAAACACACATACCGACATACATACACGTACAGACACACCACATGCATACACACAGCCCACTTGTACACATATACTCACACACACACACATACCCATACACACACACCTCCACTGTACACACACACACACAAGCACACATACCTGTACAGACACACCACATGCACACACACACCCCACTTGCACACATACATGCACAAGCACGCACACATACAAACCACACATACGCATACACATGCACACGTACAAGGACAAGGACAGACACACACGACTTGGCTCAGATCCCATGTTCCAGCTGCAGAGACACTCCTCAGAGGAAGCTGGACAGTGAGCGAGGACTCAGACCACGAGAGACGCCCAAGGTCAAGGGCAGGTGAGAGGAGAAGGGAGGAAGAGATGGTGCAGGGGCAGGTGGGATGAGACACCAGCAGGAGAGGCGGCACGCAGAAAGGATGGGGGCCCTGGGCCAGGGAATGGGGGGCCCCATCCTCACCAGGTAGTTGCCTCCATGTTTGGATTTGAGCATCTGGGCCACCTCGCGGAGGTTGCTCCGGAAGTTCTCCTCATTGGCTGTGCTGGGGAAGGAGACGGCGATGATCCTCTCGGTGACGTACACCAGGTCCAGCTCACAGCTGTCCTCCGTGGTCCGGCTCGTACTCATGTTTCTGGGGAGACAGCAGGCAGCAGATCAGAATCCAGGCCCAGGACGAGGTCCAGGAACCTGCACCCCTCCACGCCATACATGGCCCCCAGATCTAACCCAGGAGGGCTTGGCTGCTCCCTGACCCCGAGCCAAGGCCAGAGGCTTCCCTGGGCAAGACCAGTGTAGCTCTCGAGGCCAGTCTGGGAGAGCCAGGGAGAAGAGAGCTGGGCAGAAGCCGGCAAGGATCTCAGGCCGTTTCAGGAACAAAGAGTGATGACACCAGTCCTAGGTGCTCATCAATCCCATTGGCACTGCCTTCAACCTGTGATCCCAGAGGTCGGAGCCAGGGCCGGAACCAGCCAGGGCCCAGGAGTCCAGCTCAGCCTCCCAACACATGGCAGCCACCTGATCTGGCAGAAGCTTTTCGAAGGATCCAGGGAGGGCTCCAGAGAAGGAGAGCCCGAAGCGAGGGCTCTTGCATCCCAGAGCTGAGCCTTCTACCGCCCTCCGCTTGCTCTGAGCTGTGGTGTGGGCGGGGGGGCCCATCAGGGACAGGGGCAGCTCAGGTGACACGCTCACCTGGGCTCCAGGTAAGCCAGACCGCAGCGCACATTCCAGCCCTCCCTGGAGGCAAGCCGACTCCTGCCCTTTGTTCGCTGGCTCTCCCCCCACTTCTGGCAGCTCCCACCACCTCCCGGGCTCTTCCTGCTAGTGAGTGCCCTGGTCTCTAAGGGCCCAGGAGGCCGAGGATGCTGCCGCAGTGGCAGGGGACCCCAGACATCCCAGTGCCATCTGAGCTCCTAAGAGAGGTCTGCCTGGGCCGGGCACCTAGTGAGAGGGAGTACCCACCCACCTCACCCGGCTGCTCTTCCAGAGGAGGGTCCAGGGTGAGCTCATGGGATGGGGAAAGGGGTCTCGGGACACTGGCAATCCATTCCAAAGGCCCCCAGCGGCTTCTAGGGGCACCTCATACCCTTCTTACCCCATCACCAGCCTCCTGCTTCCGCTCACTACCCAAGATGGACCACACTCATGTTAATTACCTCTCACTACCTCCAGCTAAAGCTGGGACTGGAGGGGCAGTGGGAGGGATACCACTGGGGTGTTTCAAAGTGATGGGGCAGCAGTAGGGTGTACAGCCCCAGGACACCAAGAACCGGGGCAGAATCCAAATCTCCAGGGTTAGCTCTGAGCCAACTGTATAGATGGGGCTTGGAGACAGGGGAGCCAAAGGTGACATATAGCTTCTCCATGGGGACGGTGACTGGGACGCGGTGACAGAGATGCCAGTGTGCTGGGAGCCCACTGTGAATTGGGCCTCTGAGTCCTGATCATTCCTGGTCCTGCAGCGTGTGGGGGTGGGGCTCCTACGGAAGGCAGAACAGCGCCACCAACTGGACGACATCAACATGACACTCTGCACCCACCGATTCTCAGCTACAAGGGAGGAGGGATCTGCTAAGGGGGCCGTCCACTCTCTGTGGACAGCTGGCAGAGGGACTACGGCCCACTGGGAGCTTCAGCTACACACCAAGCCCTCTCTGGCTGGGGCTCCAGATCCCTGGGGCCAGATTCTCACTCATCTCAGAAGCCTCGGATGAAGGAGAGGCAGAGGAAGCCAAAAAAATCAGAGAACCTGGACCCAGGACAAAGTAACTCTGGATGAGCCAAGCACCGAGTCCCCTGTGATCCCCCTGCCCCAGCCCCCATCAGCCCAGCCAGCCAGAGAACCTTGCTTTTATAAATGACCCTCGAATATCAGAAGTCACTGCTCATGGAAAGGAACAGTATCTAGCACAGGCCTCAATGCCAGCCAGTCCTGAAGGAAAATCCAAGTGCTGCCTGTTGGTGGTTGCATGACCTTTAACAAGTTGCCTCATTTCCCTGAGACCCAGTTTCTTCATCAGTCAAACGGGGATAAAATACTTACCCTGCAGGGTTGTTGCAAGGACTAGATGAGATCATGCAGGTAAATAAAGAATCCAGCTCAAGGACTGGCTTCAAACTAGAATTCAAAACATGACTGATTCCCAGTGGCATCTACCCACATCCTCTCGTTGTAGCTTCCATGTCTGCCATGCTCCCGACCAGGGGCTTCATGACTTTGGCATTAGAGACTCAAAGGCATGACTTGCTGGGAACACCCACAGTGACCTCACTGCCTGCCCCTCACCCCCTGCCCCCTATAGTCCAGGCATACCTGATGGGCTGGGGATGAGGCTGGACACTTGGTGTAACTCTGGTGGAACTCTGGGAAAGAGAAGAGAGGAGCAGCGTTAGGATGGGGACCAGCTGGACGGCAGGAGAGCAGCAGAGAGCTGTCCACACAAGTGGTCAGGGCCACGGGCAAACACAGATTTCCTTCTCCTGCTTCTGCCAACATTCCAGCCCAGGCGCCCTAAAGCCCCAGCAACACAGCAACTCAAAGCCAAAAGCAATCGATGCCAATCCCACGTGAGTGTGCCTGTGTGCCTATAAGCCCCCGAGGGGAAGCGCTTTCCTCCCTCCAGGCAAGGAAGAAATCCCCAATGCCCAGAAATGCACCAGGCCTGGGCTGGTGCCACCTGCACTGAGTTTACACTCAATAAAACAGTTAAGTTGATGGACACTCATTTCACCTTGATGTGCTGGATATCGGAACAGTAAGCCCAAGTGGTGAACAGAGATACAAGCATGAAAGAAGGAAAGATGAGAGCGCTAGCACCCCTCCATCCAGCTCTGAACATCTCTCCTCTGACCACCAGCTGCCCACAAGCCTCTCCTTTAAAGCAGCAACGCCAGGTCAGTCCAAAGTTTTGAGACAAGAAGCCACCAGGCACGGTGTGTACTGACCAGAGCTAGGCAGCAAATCATGCTTCTACGGACCCACTGCCCATCGTCTGTTACCTCCCTCATCCGCTCCCATCTCTAGGGTTGTCGACTGGTACAAAATTAGGCAAACGGACCCAAGTTGGTATCCAAAATATCTCAGGGAAACTGTATGGTACGGCAACGAAAGTGCAGGATCAGAGCCCCCCCACCCCCGGCATCCTGCTGGACAACCGTGCACTACTCAAAGATCTGAGCCTCTGTAATGTCATGAGTGCTGTGCTGTGCATAGCTGATCTTCAGTCATCTCCGACTCTTTGCAACACCATGGACGGTAGCCCTCCAGGCTCCTCTGTCCACAGGCAAGAATACTGGAGTGGGTTGTCATGCTCTCATCCAGGGGATCTTCCCAATCCAGGGATCGAACCCTTCATTGGGTCTCCTTCATTGCAGGCAGATTCTTCACCATCTGAGCCACCAGGGAAGCCCCAATGTCACAAGTAAGATGCAACAATCCTCATGGGGTTATTTGAAGAGTAAAGGGAATTGTGCATATCTGGTCCTTAGATGTTCTTACCATTATTACATCGAGTACAATTAAAAGGATAGTTAGAGACACAACAAAAGTTACCTCTATAGAAAAGCAAAACCCTGCATCACCAGCTGCTACCCATCTTTTCATCCACCTCACTCGAAGCAGAATCGGAGCCCTACCTGGACACTCCCAGCCAGAGCCCTCTGAGCCCACTGGCACCTTTCAAACATGCCTGAGCCTCCCCTAAACCAGCCTTTTGTGACCACCAAGCTGCATCCTCTTGGAGGAGAGAGGAGCACAGTCCACCAAGGAGAGGGGAAACTGAGGCTACAGCAACTCACCCCCAGGTCCTGACGACCAGCAGGATTCATCCTCAAACTCCGGGCTGGACCACTGGGTCCCCAAGAAGAGGAGCCCCCTTCGGCCCTCTCCACGCAGCACCAACGAGGCAGGGGTGGGTGGGCTCTGCAACCCCGCACCCAGCTGAGCCCCAAGTCAGGGCAGCCCCCCTAAGAGGAGGACTCTCCATCCAGCCTTTCACAAGAAGGCTGCAGCCAGAGCCCGGGGCTGCAGTGCAGCCCGGAACAGCTCAGCCTGGAGGCAGCGGGAGGAGGAAAGAGCCAAGTCGTGCTGTCGGGCGGGAAGTTTCTGTCTCCACAGCTCTCCTGGCCCCGAGGACTTGGGTTTGCATGAGTCAGGCATGGGGAGTTGGGGGGTGGGAAGTGGTGGGGGGGGGCAGTAAGGAGGGGTTGAGTTGTGTTTGGTTTTCAAGACCCAAACCAGGCTGTTCCAAGACAACCCGCTCAGAGGAACGCAGAAACCCGACACTTCATCGGTCTCCGTCTCTCCGGTCCCTGATGAGGAGACGATGAACCTCCCCAGGCCCTAGGCCCGGCTCCAGGCCCCAGGGCCACCCTGCTATAAATAGCCCCTCGGTTCCGTAGACTGCTGATCCACAGCCATGTTTGGAGGAGGCCACTACAGCTGCTTCTAACAACTGGAAGCCACAACTATAGCCAAGGCGGGAGGTGTGGCCAGGACCACGGGGCCAGGCCCCCAGGAGCCTCAGGGATACAGAGCTGGGCTTGGTGGGAAGACTGGGGAGTCGAGGGGAGCCAAGAGCCTCCACAGGCGCAGGAGCGAAAGGGAAGCACGGAGCAGGAGAGCCAGGTCCTGCTTCTCCACCCCCCTCCCCAGTTACAACACTCCACATTCTTCAGCTTCCCCACCCCAAAAAGCCGGGAAAGATAAATAAAAACTTGGCCCCAGCAGAGTCTGGCCACGCCGCCTCCAGAGGTGATAAGACAAAGTCCAAGCCGGGGCCAGCGGTGAGGGGGGCGGGGGAGAGGGGAGGCAGGGGAGGAAGCCGCCCTGGACAGTGACCCTCGCGCGGAGGATGGGGACGAACAGCTGGACAGTCATCCCCTGATGAATCACTGGGCTGCCCTCGCTGACGGGGCTTCCTGTTTTCTGCAAAGTTTGGAAGCATGTGACACTCACTGGCAGAATGCAGCCATGCACAGGTAACACGTCCACGTCTGGGGGCGACTGGGCGGAGTCACGGGAGAACTGGAGGACCACAGACGGGCCGGGGGCGGGCGCAGGGCATGTGAGCGACACCACTCAGGGCTCTGAGAGACACAGTGACCTCGCAGACAGGGCTGGAGACCGAGCCGACTCACACAGGGCCTTTTTCAGGAAGGATGAGGTCTCCTCTGCATTCCATCATCATACCCCCTCCCTCATTCTGTGAACTCTGCTGAGGGCCACCAGCTGGGCATGAGGCCCCCGGCCTCAGAAAGCTTCCATTCTATGAAAGAGGATTCTCATCTACGAAGCCCATGTGAGAAGCAGCCATGAGGCCTCACTGACTGCTCTGTAAAATGGGTACAACACAGTCGGGTGTGATTTACCTGTTCCACTCAAGAGCCTCTGGGGTAAACTACCCAAGGGTTTTACAAAGAGTTCTCTAGGGACTTTCCTGGTCCAATGGTTAAGAATTCCCCTTCCAATGCAGCGGACATGAGTTCGAGCCCTGGTTGGGGAACTAAGATCCCACATGCTGCAGGGCAACGAAGCTTGCACGCCTATAACTAGAGAGAAGCCCATGCACAGCCACAAACAGCCTGCGTGCCGCACCTAAGACCTGATGCAATCAAATAGATAAATACATTTCTTTTTAAAAAAAGAATACTTGAAGATTTTATTTTATAAAGAAAAATAAGCTGTCGGTCTGCCTGTAATACCATTCCTTTCCTCTCTGGGGCTCTCAAAGCCATCTACCCACAGCTCTGAACTTCTTCCCTGCGCCTCCCAAGACACAGATCCATAACAGAACTTCTGATCCAACTCCCGTAGGCACCAAGATCTCTCCCCCACAGACATCACCAAAACGCAGTCGCTTCTCTGCTTAAGGGACACTGTAAAAGGAAATTCCATAGCCTCCTCCAAACCGTGTCTTATGTCTCTTCCTATCAGCCAGTTCCTCCTGGTATCTAACCCTCACCCTTCCTGTTGCAGATTCCGCCAACACCGTTGACCTCGATCCTCAATGCCGGCGGGAGCTGCTGACCACCGCTCAGACACTGCGGGGCCACTCAAGATCTGTGACCCTCGGTTCCGTTTTTCACCTTCATCTTACCCACCACGCAGCAAGAGCAGGAACCCCAGGATCTGGGCGGGGTTGGTTTGGAGCAGGGACTGTGTGGGAAGAGTCCTGCCTTCTTTTGAGGTCCACAGACCAAACACAACAGCACTGGACCAAAGGGAAAGCTGTTTCCGGAGCCCAGGTCCCCAGGGGGCACAGTTGGGAGGAGGGTATGTAAGCAACAGTAGCAGCCATGTCAGGCAGCCAGAGACTGGTGACCAATCTACGTCAGGGGCCCTTCCCCACCCCGACATCTCCTCTGGGGGCTGTGGCGACCCCCTCCCCTCTGCACCAGCCCCTCCGGCCACACCCCTTCCTCTCTCCTTCCTGCCCACCCGCCTGGATTTTTCCAAAACAAAGTGCGACACAGCACACCATCCACAAACCCTGCAACACACCAGCCTCGCTGGAGGAAAACAGCCATTCCTGCCCTGTGAGTCCTGGGCCGTGGGCCAGAGACAGGAAAACAGCTCAACAAACAGGCACATTATCACAGCAACAAGCCCCAGAGCAGCAGCCATGCCGCTTCAGAAACGGTCTCCTCACCCGGGGAGAGGGCAAGAGAGCTCAGTGGTTGGGCAGGGGACCCTGGGTTCACTCAACCCGGGACAGGTTTCTGGGAACCTCAAAAACTAGGTTTTCTCTCTTCCTTCGCAGTACACAGGTCATTCTAGAATCTGCTCACTTGCTCAGCCTTTCATGAACTCCTTTAACTAGACTAGGCAGACCGAGACTCATCTCTCCTCCCATATCAAGGCAAGACCCATCCCTGGCACCCCTTACCCACCCCTGGCACGCACAGACACACATACTTTCATCCCAGATCAACAAATTTTCCCCTAAAAAACTTCTAATCCCAGCTAGGCAGCAACCTCTTTCTTCCCCAGGACCAAAGTCCGACACGCTCTCATGTCAAAAAGTTCTTCACGATGTCTAACTTCACTTTCTCTTGCTGCACATTTACTTTGTTGGATCTATGTGGCCTGGGATGGGGTTGTGGGGAGCAGCTGCCCTAGGACTCGACTTATAAGAATGTCCAGACCATGAGCTAAAAGGCTTGGTTCACACAACATCACCCTGTCCCCTGGCCAAGAGTCAGGAGTCCTGGAAACACCAGATCCAGGCAGCAGTCCCAGGACGGAATGGAGAAGATAGATATTCATTGCAATAGTGAGCTCCTCCAAGCCTCTGTTTCCTCATCTATAAAATGGGTTCACAGCATCTGCCATAGTGGGATGTCATGGGGATCAAAAAATACTCAGGCCAGCTTCTGGCCCTTAGCCAAAATAATAGTAATAAGAATGGCTAACATGTATTGAGCATATAGTATTCACTTTGTGAATTCACTACGTGAATTATAGATTTCACTTTGTGTCCGTTAAGCTAGTTAATCCTAGTAGGTACACAAAACATTGCTTCCTCCCCTGCACCCCAGCCCCAGAAACATCACAAATGTGGACAAGGGTCCCTCTCAGCTTGTGTACTACACACCCATAGGACCCGTGCATACCTTTTCCACTAATTTGAGAGGCATGTTCCTCCTCCTGGCCAGCCCCCGTGCGGCCCTGGGGACACCTCCACCTTGCAGGGCTGGGCAATGTGGAGTGGCAATGGGCTCACCACCAACGTGCACTGCCTGCAGGAGCCTAGCGCCTCCCTCCAGGCCCTCCCCGCCTGGGTCAGGCAGCTGTCAGATGATACGGCCCCATGCCATCAACAGCTCCCCCTGTGCCAACCGCCAAAACCACTCCCTGTTCCTCTGCAGATCAGGGCGGGAGAGGATGGAGAGGCCCGCTGAGGGGTGAATTGTCAGAGAAGGGCGGGGAAGAAAGAGAAGGTCCAACTTCACTGGGCATCTGCCCCTGGGGTGTGAGGACAAGCCCAGGCACGAGTTGGGCTCAAAGCAGGGGACCCAGGGAGCCCCTCCTTCCTTCCCTGGGTCCTTCCACTTAAGGAGTTCGCCTGTCACCCTCCACCAAAAAACCACACGGCAAGAGAAGCCCACAAGGTGAACCAGCCCATCTTTCAGCTTCCTCCTGAATCAATCTCATTTAGCCATTTTCAAAGCCTCTTCTGTCCAAAGAAGCAGAGCCTATGATCCCCAAGAGCCCAGGAGTCCCTCTTCATCTCTGCCCTTAGTCCCTCTTGCTGCATGCAGTGTCACCCATTCCCCTGGCCCTTACTTTAGTGACTGCTCACCACCCAGCCAGCCCTTGCACCCCCTCCCTCCCCACCCTGCAGTACTGAGGTCTGCTTAAGTGATGGGCAAATGAGCCCTGAATCCAGCTGAGCTGGATGGAGGCTGAAGCCAAGACTGAGGCCCAAGACTGAGGCTAAGTCATGGGCCTGCTCACTCCTTTGCCCCACCCCGCTGGTGGCTCAGATGGTAAAGAGTCTGCCTGCAGTGCAGGAGACCAGGGTTCGATTCCTGGGTTGGGAAGCTCCCCCGGAGAAGGAAATGGCAACCCACTCCAGTATTCTTGCCTGGAAAGTCCCATCAATGGAGGAGCCTGTCAGGCTATAGTCCATGGAGCTGCAAAGAGTCGGACATGACTGAGTGACTTCATTTTTTTACTTTCTTTCTTTCTTTCAGTCTGGAATTGAGCTAAGTAACCCTGACTGCCCTTCTAGACAGGAGATTGTGAGGGATGCCCCACCAAACAGGACAGGTATGAGACGTCATCCACCTCCCCGCATCCCCCACTCATCAGGGAACCACCATGTCTTCCTCTTCCTCCCCTTCCCCATACTTACATCTTCCTCAAGGTTTTTCCGTGTGTTCCCACCCCGAAAGGTTCCTTCTCCCTGGAGACAAAGAAAAGGCAGTCAGAGAGGGGAGTCGAGGAAAGTCATCAAAAGGTCCCGGGTCTTTCACTGCTGGGTGTGGCCGTGGTGGGGGTGGGGGCCTGCAGGGAGATTGCTTGTTTGTGCAGCATCTCTTTGTCCACTAAAGGCCCCTTGGAGCCAACCACACCCACTCATGTGTGTCTCTCCTAGGGAGATATCATTATTCCCATTTTGCAGATGAGAAAACTGAGGCACAGAAAGGCTTGAGACATGCTACAGTCCACAGATAGAACCCTGGCCGAGTTGAGATATAAGCCCAAGTCTTCCAAGCCCATCAGCTAGCTGCCAGCCTTGGTTTCCCCACTGCATGATCCACCTACTTCCTTCCCTTCCTCCTCCATGCAGCCTTGAGGAAACCATCTGTCCTTCTGCTAAGGCAGAAAGATGTGTTTGGAAAGATCTTCCTGGCTCTCTCACATGCTACATATTTAATAAAGAAGACCACATTTTACACTGGCTAAAATGCTCCTTCCTGCCTGCCTCATTCCCCAGCAATCATTTCCCAACACACAGGGGGATGGTCTGATGTCCGGCTCCACATGTCACAAGGTCCCCACCCTTCCCCAAGTTCCACAAATCTACTCCAGAAGGGTGTCCTCAAACATATCTGTTCACTGTCCCCCCATCTTCCTTCTGCTTTCCCGGCCTCCCCAAGCTGCTCCCTGCCCCCACCCTGCCTGCCATCACTCACCGTGTCCACTACATTCTTCAGAGCAGTCTCAGTGTTGACAGGCTGTGGACAGAGGGAGAATACAGTGTGAGGCCTCAAGACAAACAGGTTGGCTCTCTCCCCAGGGCTGGAGGCTGTGATGGGCAGAAGGCCTCTGGAGATAGCTTGGATGGTGCCAACCCAAGACTCAGACATAATATGCTGACCCCAGGCTTGGAGGCAGAACTTGGAAAGTGAAAGACCATCCTATTGGTCCTAGAACCACCCAGCTCCACACACCTCAAGAGGGACCCTAACTCTGACCTCTCAAAAGGGAACAAGGAGCAAGTAAGTGACTCCTGTTCCTACCTGCCAGGCATGTGTACCTACCCCAGATGCTTCAACTATTCATAAGAACCCAGGGGTTCTTATGGGAGGGACCCTTACCATCTTTGAGCCTTACTTTACCAATAAGGAGAAATCAGATGAGTAGGCCAAAGCCACTTGACTACCAAGCGGAACAAAAGGGTTGGAACCCCATCTTGGGTATCTACGCCTCAAGCTATGTGAAACTGCAGCAGTCCCAGACAAGATGTTTCACACTTTAGTGGGCTTTCAAGGACCACCCCACACGGGCCCTGCCCCCCGCCTTGCAGACCTCAATTTCCATGCCCCAAAGCTCTGCTCCATCCAGACTCCTTGCTATTCCCACATCCAGGACTTGGCTTGTGGAATGGCTTCTCACTTTTTCCTGCAAGCTCTCCTCTTCCATGAAGCCCTCCCTGAACACCCCAGCAAGGGGGGCTCTTTCCCACCTCAGAACTCCAGTAAGCCTTACTGTCTGAGCTATTTATCTGGTCCTCGGTGCATGAGTAATCTCATTGTGGGAATAGGTCTCACTCCAACTATTGTTTTATTTGTGATTTTTATCCCACTTTTCTCCAAAACAGATTCAATGCAGCTTTTTTTTTAATCAACTCAGCTGCAACATCCCTCATTCTGGAGACTAGTTTATGTGTAGTGGGCAGTCACTAAACACCTGAGGACTGATCCTGTCCCTCATCCCGGTGCCATCCTTCCCTCACCCAGACCAAGAGAAGTGTTTCCCACTAAAGGCATCCTGAAACATGGGCTCCTTAGACTCCCTCACCACAAGAGAAAAACTTCTCGTTCCAGGGCCACCTCCTGACCACAGTCTCCAGGGCTCCATTTCCAATTCAGCGATGTGGTCAGAGGGGTGCTTGAATCTTGCAAGTGGGCATGAGTCAAGGTCATGGAAACAAGTCTTCACTGAGATGACCATGGACCGGGTATAGACAATGGATCTCAGAATAGGAAACACCAGCCCCAACCCTATCCCCAGGACCTGAGGATGTGCTGTTCATGTCTGAAGACAGGGGAATGAACAGAATGACTTCTGAAAGGTTCTGGCATCTGGGAGAAAACTGGACCAAGACAGGCATGGAGGAGGGCTTCCCTGGCGGCTCAGACAGTAAAGAATCTGCCTGTGATGCAAGAGACCTGGGTTTGATCTCTGGGTTGGGAGGATCCCCTGGAGAAGGAAACAGCAACCAGAAAACTCTGCTTTCTTGCCTGGAATATGCCATGGACAAAGGAGCCTGGTGGGCTGCAGTCCATGGGGTTGCAAAGAGTCAGATATGACTGAGCAACTAACACACTTTCAGGCTTGGAGGAAGGAAGCAGGCTGAGCTAAAGGCAGTGCTCTTTCTAAAAATGCACAAACTTTACCCTACTGTACTAGAGACAGAGTATGCCATGGACAGAGGAGCCTGGCAGGCTGCAGTCCATGGGGTCGCGAAGAGTCAGACACAACTGAGTGACTAACACACACACCCACTAGAGACAGGAGGATGAGGCCAAAACTTCTTTCCAGGCGAATAAAGCCTCCTGTGTAGTTCAGGGTCAAGGCAGATTGGGATGGTTGAGGGAGCACAGGGTCCAGGAACGGAGTCAGAGCTGGGGAGGTACATAAGCCAGCCCCTCCCAGCCTCCTCGGTTGACCCACCTGGAGTCTGAGGATGACTCTGCAGAGCAATAAAGATGCCACATTCTGTCCCCACCCAGCCCAGCCCTAACCCTCCTCCAGCCGCCCCCTTCCTCCCCCAGAGCCCCCACTCCCAAGCCATAGGCCATGGGGCAGGAGGCAAATGAGCCCACAAGATATCCCCAGGGATCCCTGCCCTAGACGGAGCTCTAGGAGCTGCCTGATAATCAGGACCAGCGTCCCCCTCAGCCTCCCGCCACCAACCGGCCCCACCCAGCAGAGGCCTCAGAGGCAGAGCCAGGCTGCCCCCGCCCCTGGATCCCCGGCCCATCTCTTCTGGTCCACGGCTCTGTGATGCTCACGTGGAGACCACGGGCTGCACAGGACGCCCGAGTGCCTCCACCCTGAGTGGCTCTGGCCTCCTGGCGGGGAGGAGAAGGCCTAGAGAGCAGTCCACAGGGACCTTCTGCATGCAGAGTCTACACAGCACAACTGAGTTGGGACCCAGACCTCCCAGCTTCAATGCCCTCACTCTTCACAGTCTGTACAATCAGCCTCCCTGACAGGGAGAAAGGACAGAAACAGGGTGGGATGGAGAAGCTGGAGACAGAACGCCTGCCTCATGTCCATTACAGGCCCCGAAGAGCCCCTCGTCCTGCTCTGGGGAAAGTCTCCCAAGAGACCCTTGACTGGGCAGGGCAGAGTGAAAGCTGGGGGCCTCAAACTGGACTGTGCCTGCCAATCACCCGGAGGGCTGCTGACAGACAGGCGGGCCTCTGGGCCCTCCCCAGAGGTCAGAACCCACAGACTAGGAAAGGACCCAAAAGCGCGCATTTCTAATAAGTTTCCAGGTCCGGGCACGACACTGTGAAAACGACCAGTCTAGACTGGCAGCATTGGCAGCAGCCAGCCGGGCCACATCCTGACTCTCTGTTACTAACTGTGACCTCGGGCAGGTCACCATGTCCTTGCTGCTCCCTGGCAGGACTGCACGGCCCTATTCTGTGAGATGCAAATGAGATGAAGCACAAAAAGCACTCAGCACAGGCCCGGGCACTTAGGAAGCTCTCCATAAAGAGCTGTTATTTATCGTCTCCACCCCACCCCACCCTGCCCCACCTTGACCCTCCTGTCCCACCCCTCCTGGGTCTGGCACAGGGCAGACCAGGGAGGCAATATTAGAAACCACAGGCCTCAGCAGGGCAAGAGCAACTTCTCTCCCTGCCAGCAATCATCTGAGCACCAGCCCCTCTCCCCGCACCCCTTCCCACGCCAGCTGGAGGCTAGCCACAGGGCCAGCCATTAAACGCCTGCCCTCAACATTAGTGAAGAGGCTTTCTGAGGAGCTAAAAATTTCCAAAAAAACACTTCCAATCTCAACACCCAGTGTTTTCCTGCAGTGTTTGCAAACATAGCCCAGCATGCACACTGCACTCCCCTCCCCTCTGCTCTGCCCCTCGCCTCCACCCCAGGCCTCCTGGGATTGGAGTCCTGCTTCCCTGTTTCCCAGGCACTGCCAGCTCTGGGGCTAGTGGGAATGATAAAGGCAAGGGTACTGGTAACAGGAGAGGGGTCTCCCCTCAGGCCACCCCTGTCCCAGGTCCTGCGGGGAGGCTTGGGTATGCTACAGGAAGTTCCCAGGCCATCAGGGCTTCAGTGGCTGACAGAGACCCACTAGGCCTTGGCTGTCACCCTAACTTTAGCG